ACAGCCAGAAAAGATGTTATGTTGTTGTGGAGTCCCCCCCCCCCTCACTTTTTGCCAAAATGTTAAACTTTAGTGTCATTTCTTCATGAGCATTGTCATAATGGTCGTGTAGAGGCTTCAACAAGTATTTTTCTCATAACCTCGGGTTCTGTTTACCACCTTCTTGGAGGGCATCCACAATCTGGGAGAGCATCAAGGCTTCTGATTCCATCCATAATAATACTGTCTGTCATACTCAAGTCATTGAAAATGGTTTATTCAGTGAATGTTGTTCATGGTTCAACCAATTTTCTTGAGAAAAGCAAACTTTCCCAGTACAGACTCTGTATGGTGGGTCATGTTTACAACCCACGTTCCATATCTCATCTCTAAAACTGGAACACATGAATTCAAGTAGCTTTTGGAGGCTGTGCTATGACTCAGTGGAGCCTCTGTTTATTGGCTTAGTATGACTGTGTTTGCCTGTAACTGTAACAGAGCACATTTTATTTGTGATAATGCAGAATACCGGTCAAAGAGTACACAAACTCTTTCTTGCAGCTGTAGAATGGCTTCCTTATGAGGCCTGTATCTGTTCATTACACATAAACAACAGATTGTATATGTTTTATTGTACTTTGGGTTCTGAATTCACTGATTATGAGGACTAGACATTCCCATCTGATTCCCATCTGATTGTTCTAGCTAAAGATGTCACCTGTATTTATTATTACTCCCTGAAGTTGTATTTTGTTAAGTTTAATTACTTTCCAAATGGGTGGAGTTGTATTCCCGCTTAAAGTCATCTACTTGACACTACATGCCAGTAACAATCTAATCACTTGTGCCATTATGGGCTTGTCAGCCACAGTGTGTGTGTTTCAGGTTATTTATTTTGTTGTGGGACTTTGTATCCTGGACATGATTCATGTGTTTATTGGCTTCTTAAGGAAAGTACCTTCGTTAGCTTCCTTCACCTCTTGTATGTTTTCATATCTAACAATATAACAGGAAGCAGTCAGCATGTTTAAATACCCTCTTGTGTTTTTTTCCCCCCATGATTAGCTTTCTGTCCCTCCAGAGGAATTGGAGGGATCAGGCTATGACCTGGATGGCTCTGGTTCCGGTTCTGGAGATGGGTCAGAGGAGGGTAATTCTTCATCTATAAAATGTTAATGACCCATTTTACATAATGTACATGACCACTGTATGTTTCATCCTCTCTAACTGCACTCTTGCCAGGTGTAACTGAAGATCAGCACAACAGCAAAGACGGCAGAATTCTGGCAGAAACCAGAGACGAGACCAATAATACTTTCCATGTATGACTTACTTCAATCAGTCCCATGATTTCTTCACCTGTTGATGTTGGTGGTGTAACAGGAAGTGATCGTGTGTAACTGTCTTGTCTTTTGCTTTAGGGCTTTTCAGACAAGACTTTTGGCAACACACACAGGTCAGCAGCAGACGATGACTCTGGATATGTTGCTATAGCAAACAGCAGGAGCTACTTTGAGAATAGTGAATTCCTTGCAGGTACTTTGCAATATGGCACAATGAGAAAGCTATAAGCTGCGACTTTCTAATATAGCTCACCTAGGTTTATGTTTACAGGTGTTATTGCAGGGGGAGTAACGGGATTGGCTCTCGCAGCAACTGTGGCAGGAATATTAATCTACAAATGGCAGAAGAAAGAGGAGGAGGACCGATACAGTCTGGGCCCAGAGAAGGCTTTAGATCATAATTATCAGAAACCAAACAGGGAAAAAGTATTCCTTGTTTAACCACACCTGCATCTGATAACTGTAAAGCCGTTGTTTGATAAGTTGATGCTACTTGGCAATTTTTGTACCTCAAAATCTACTGTAAATGCATACTTTACTCGTGGTCTCTGGAAGGAAGGTGGGGTTCATATTTCTTATGCACTTAAAGTGAAATATGTCTATTGTTGTTGAATGTATTTATATTTAAGATAAAACATGAAAGATTTTTGTAGTCGATGATCTTCCAGGTGTCCGTCTTTTAAAAATAATTGTGATTCCTTCGTCGTACACTGAGTAGCTGTAGCACTGGGGTCGTATCCTCTGAGTTTTGGGTGATGTGGGATTTTGTTACGATGTGTAATTTTAATTGCCTTCAGTGTGTTTGGTTGAATGAAGGTAAAGCAAAGATGCACCGTTTAATATGTAATTAGTTATCATTATATGAAAGTTTCTGTTTAATTGTTTTGAAGAGGTAGCTTATTGTAGCATTTATATTTGCCTTTAAATGGGCAAAAAAAAAATCTACTGCACTTCTAAAGGAAATGGAGTGAAGCAGGCCTGTCCACCAGACATTTTGACAAATCATAATGCAATAATAAAACACAAAAAAACAAGCAAATTAACATTTTTTGTAGAAACTTGGCTACTCTGTCATGTTTTACAGGGACGGGTGAATAAATGAGAATCATTGTTAAGTTGCCAGAGAGTGATAATCAAAATTTCTGTAATGTGGTGACCATTGATAGGCAGGAAAATCTCTGTCATTCACCATTACTTTAAGCTATGTGACCCATGTGATAGATATGAATTGAAGGGGCAGCTCATTTAAGAGTGCATAACACCGCTATAGCTGCTGTAATGCAACATGTTTTATGTTGCGTATATGTATGTCTATTTTTGCATGTAATAATCAATAATAAAATAACTTTGTAACAATTAAAATCTGATTTTTTTTTAATGTTTTCTGTGCAGAGGTGGTTTCTTTGAACCACACAGTTTGCTTATACGTGCATATGTCTGAGAGTTTGTGCATTTTATTGCATGGCATGTGTTACTACTCAAAGATGATCAGAACTGCAGAGCCTTGTTTAAGTAGAAGGTGGTTTTATACACTGCATCCTGTAGGCTCAATATGAACTGAAAGGCGTTAAATTGTAATACCCTAATGGGTAAATATCATCTGTAAGATATTTAGTGTTAGTGAGCTTGATTATTTGCAGCATTGCATTATTATTATTTTTTGTTATTATTATTATCATCGGAGATATAAGAGCGACAATGACAGTAGTGTGGTGTGCAGTAGTAGTGATTTAATTTACAATGGAGATGGACTGTGGACTATGATGTTTTCAGATGACATAGACCAGGTAAAAGAGAGCGTGGGAAGGTGGGGATTTGCTCTGGAGAAAAGAAGAATGACAGTAGAGGAAAGTCAGAATATGTCTTTGGAGGGGGAAGATGAAGGTAGATGAGTTTAAAAACCTGTGGTCAACCTTCCAAAGTGAAGAAAAGAACGCAGGCAGAATGGAGCGGATGAAGATGTGCGTTAGGGATAGCAGCAAGTCTAAAAGGTAAGGTTTACAAGATGTTAGTGAAACCCGCTATCATGTATGGTTTTGAGACAGTGGTAGGACTGACAAAAAACACGTGAGGTAGAGCTGGAGGTGGCAGAGTTGAACATGCTGAGAATTTCACTGTGAGTGACGAGGATGGGCAGGATCGGAAATATGCGCATCTGAGGGACAGCTCAGGTCGAGGAGTTTGGAGACAAAGTTAGAGAGGTAAGACTGAGATGGGTTGGAAATGTACAGAGGAAAGTTATTGGATCTTGAAGATAGAGCTGGCGGGTAGGAGGTTTATGGATGTAGTGAACGAGGATATGCAGGGGTTGGTATGGCAGAGGAGTATGCAAGGGGAAAAAGTGAGGTGTGTGCAGATGAAATACAAATAACAATTTATGAACATTTTTGCGTTGCGGAATATTCAGTAAAGTAAATATATTTAGGCCTTTTTTTATTTCTTTGCGGCCAATGGTTGAATCCTCTGTCAATCAAACCCTGGTGTCTCTGCCTTTTCCTGCCCGTCAGAGGGTTTGTTTTCATGCGCGCTGCGCGCAGGCCGTCAGGGAAGTGGTGGGCGTTCCTCTTCATTCGCTCGTTGACTGTTGATGCTGAGAAGAATTTCTCCTCCGCAATCAGCTCTTCAGATGTTTCTCCCTACGCTTGTAGAGGACATGCATCATTTTAAACCCAGTCGAGACAGACTGTACACCACTAGGTGTTGCGGATGTTGCCACGTCCGAACGGGGACGATCATCCTGGGAACATGGTACATGGTACGTACTGAGGTTCGCAATGATAGGGGTCAGTAAGCTAACGTTAGCTAGCACTTTACCAGTTCCGTTAAGTTCCCCAAAGTAGGAAGTTATGCAACGAAGGATGTTAATACAAGGTGCAAATGGCTCTGAGAATTTGTTGCAGTAGTTTTTAGGGACTAAAATATGAAGTAGCCGTTACTCTGGACTCTTTATTCGTCGAGTTAATGTTAACAGAAAGCTAGGGTTAGCAATAACCCGCTACCGCTGTCATGTCGGATTTTGCTTTCTGTTAGTCTCAAACTCGCACAAGTTTGAAAAAAAAAATCGCTTAGTAAACTAAAACAGAGAAGACGTAGTGGTTCATCATTTTTTCGAAGTCATCAGCAGCTGGTTGGTTATTATGCGTATTAAAATACATGAAATTTGACTTGCGTAGCTGACATTTCGCTAACTTGCTAACATGGCGTTTATCAAATAGTGGCCATAATAGCAACCCAAAAAAGCAAAAACGCGCATTTAACACAATAACTAATTATTGTGTCTCACATATGTGGTGATGGTGATGGCAGTTCTATTAAAGTAGTCAAAAGTAAAGTAATTGGGCATGCCCACGTAGCTAAGGTTGGCTAACTGTTTTTTGCGCATCTTGTTGCTGCAGCTCTGCTGGCTGGTTAGAGTTAAATCGCTCACTGAATTAATCCCCTTTTCCTTTGCCCACACCACGTAGCAGATGTTGCATGCTTTGGTTGCTTATGTAAATCCCGTTTTGCTTTTTTTTTATCCCTCTGCAGCTGCACAAAATTTGCCTGGTTTAATCACGTGAACTGCGACTCCCAAATCACTCGGTCGTGTCCATAATGCTCTCTACTGCAGTCGGATAAATGAATAACAGTCGTAATCGACCGGGGTGTCATTTTTACATTATTAAATCCCACCGTTATAACGTATCAGATCAATGTCTGGTAGATAAATAAATACTAGCAGTTACACACATTATACCAAGCTTATTTTCTCAAATTAATATCCATAAATATTTCGATGGAGTTTATAAAGTTAAGCCCTCCACTCTTTCCTTTGTTGTTTTGTTATTGTTTTTTTGTTTTTGTTTTTTTAGCCCAGCTCAAGCCGTATATTTATATGTTTGGTATTGCTCACTATTTCGGGTGGGTGATATAGCCTCAATATTACGTCGCAGCATTTCAAGAAAATTTGCAATAATTATATTTCTGACAATATAGAAAAAAAATACTAAACAGTGTGTTTTTTATATTTGCAGGCGGCTGCATTTGTAAGTTGATGACCCAGTTCCTAATCTTAGGTGTGAATCAAATAAAACAAGACGCAAACAGCAGGATTATAGTTCAACAGTTGTAATATATCTAGTGACAGCATAAATCAAATGTCAGCACAAAAGTAGCTTAGGTAGTTTTCTCTTGGGATATTTCAAGTAAAAATAGAAAATGTCTGCTTAACACTTTAGTTTAGATAAAGTAGTTTAACCCTGTAATACTACAGGAGCTGTACAATATTGTCAGCAAAAAAAATCTACCTGAGATGTTGTATCTTGTGAGCTTTTTAACCAGCTGTTGAAGCCCTACTACAAGGTAACCACACGAGTAATTTCCAGCCACTGTTTGCTCTTCCTGTAATGTGTAGTGCATCTAACAAGTTGCAGTGCTGCTTGGTGGAGTCATTTGTTTATATTTACATTGAACTTCATCAGCTGTTAGTATCTCCTCCTTTCCAGAAATTTGATTCTGTTCATTTGGATTTTAGTAGGTGAACTGTTTAGTCACTCATCCAAGTGAGTGGATATTATTCATCCTTACCTGGATGATTAAGCTTGCATCAAGACATACTGTATATCCTGCCTTGTAGCCTGGTTGTACTCGACTGTGTATTTTTTATTTATTTTATTTTTTTCTTTTGAAACAAGTGTGTTGTTTCCACCTTTAGCGGGACCATTTTTCTAGCATATTTTAGTACTGCAAGTACTGCACTTTGTTGGAGGATGTTGAAGTAGCTTCCTTTTTAAGTAATAAATTATCATTGGACCCGTGGCTCTTGCTTTCATGTTCAAGCTTGTATCCTTGTTGCACACTGGGGAACTTTAACACATGATGTTGCTATAGCAGTGCTATTGTGATATGACACTTTTATAACACGTGGTAAAAATGATCATGGCTGTTATAATATGGCACAGCTCTACTCATTGTGCATTCAGACAGCGCTACACAACAGCAGGCTCTGTAATTTTCTATACAGAGTATGTACTAACATGGTCTTTAATGTGGTTTTGGTGTCTCAGGCTTGTTTGTTGTTACCATTAATGTAAAAAGCGGAAGTAGAGTTACTGAGAGAGGCGACATGAAGACGTACCTACTAGCTGGGGACTTTATTATAGTTGATGCAGCATGGTGGTGCAGCAGTTAACAGTGTTGCTTCAGCCAGAAAGTTCCTGTTCTGAATCTGCTGGCCAGCTGGGGCTTTTCTGTGTTTAGTCTGCAAGTTGTCCTTTTGCTCGTTTGGATTTTCTCCAGGTGTACAGACTTCCTCCTACAGTCATGCACGTTAGGTTAACGGATCCTAAATTGCATGCATGCTGGTGTCAGCAATGATAGAATGATTTAAACTAAATATTCACCTCTTTGTCAGTAATTTTGATCTAGAAAATTTAAATATTGTGTCTCAGATGTGTCGGAGTCACTTAGTCTTACCAATACATATGTGGTCACATTCAGTAAAGAAACATTAGCTGCAAGTAAAGATAGCTGGTAGTACTAATTGGTAAGCTAGTGTCATACATTACAGATTTTAATTATTGAAAGGTGTACTTAGTTTTTTGTAGTGTTTCTTTTTTAACAATTTTGAACTGTTTCTGCTTAAATTGTGCTACTTTAAAATGTTTGGGGATGTTTTGTTTACTTTCAAGCTACAGTTTTCTCAAGTGCTTATCCAGTTGGGCTCCCAGTTGTCAAATAGCAGGTGGAGTCCATGGAGGTCCATGATAAAGTCAAACTAGTTGAAAGTGACTTTGATCACTTTAAGATAAGGAGAGTGTTTTCCTGTTTCACTGTCCACAAATGAGTCACCAAAAACATTTTTAAAATGGTGTTTGGTTTAACCTGTCAGTATGTGGGCTGGTTTTTCAAAGGCACCGGGTCAGAACTGGTCCCGTGGCTCATTTGTGGGAAGTCGATAATGGTGTGTAGCAGTGATTAATTCGGGCATCCACATTTGGCATAAAAATGATTTTTCAAGCAGATGATATCAAAGGAGAATTTGAAGGCTACATAACAGAGACCCAGTGTAGGTTTTATTTATGTGAGTGAGTAATTGGAGCATAAGTTGAAGGGCACAGGTGTAAGGGGGCTTCCAGATTGGGTTAAAATGGCCTGTATTTATATAGCGCTTTACTAGTCCCAAAAGACCCCAAAGCGTTTTACACATCCAGTCATCCACCCATTCACACACACATTCACACACTGGTGATGGCAGCTACATTGTAGCCACAGCCACCCTGGGGCGCACTGACAGAGGCGAGGCTGCCAGACACTGGCGCCACCGGGCCCTCTGACCACCACCAGTAGGCAACGGGTGAAGTGTCTTGCCCAAGGACACAACGACCGAGACTGTCCAAGCCGGGGCTCGAACCGGCAACCTTCCGATTACAAGGCGAACTCCCAACTCTTGAGCCACGATCGCCCCACATTGTATGTTCATCTACTTCACTTAATATCTTTGGGCTTAAACAGTATGTGCTAGACTCCTAATTTTGAAAGCATTCAAAGAAAACAAAAACAGAACAGTTTCTGAAAGATATTGTTGTGCCTTCTTGAATCATGGAAAAAGACGAATACCCAGATAAGGCAAAGAAGGAGGTTTTGCAATCTTGTTGTGATCTTTATCTGATCATACAAGTTTACTTCTCTTCCTTTTACGTAACCAGTGGTTTCAGTTGATCTTTTTCAACAATATACTTGTTGCTGTGCCTTTCAGCTTCAGTGTTGGCATGTTTCTGGAATCTAAAATGTGTCCTGGTAATTGTATGTTCATCTACTTTTGGTGAAGGAATGCATATCTATGTATTTTAAAGCCCATTTTAACCTTCTCTTTCCTCCACTCAGGTAGTGAACCTGTTGATGGGCATCCTGCTCACTGTCGCTGTGACCCACCCAGAGAACGTCCCCACTATCGACCTGCAGTATGAGGTCATTGACCACTATTTTGCTTCTGACCGGATGTCTGGTAAGTAAAAACAAATTGTCATAAAACTAATTTCATAACAAAAAAAACTGGATTGTATTCTGGTTAGTGGATCATACACCAGTATTAACTTTCAAAGGTTGGTCTTTGAATTGTACTGTGTCCTATGACAGTAAGGGCTTGTGCTCTGAGGTAGAATGAGTGAAACATTAGTTCACTCCATTGGAATAAATAGTGGAGCCATGCCTTTTCTTTTCAGTGCTTTTCACTAACTCATGAGTCGCTGTTATTCTGTGGTTGATCGTGTGATTCATTTTCCACTGGGAGATCAGCTCCACACTGACTGCAAAACAAAATTTACAAGGACAGCAGAACCACTGTTAAGTTGTTTACGTGTCATCTTAAAATGTAGTTTGGGGTGTGGTGCCACTGGTGCTACTTCCTTTGTGACTCCTTGAGGATTTATGTTTGTTTAGATATTTGTGTGCGCGCGACGGGGCAGGGCTGGCAGGACTGGCAGGACTGAGTGCGTGTTCTGTTTAGCTGGCAGTTGTTTTGTTGGTTGGCTTGGTGAAGGCCTCTTCATTTTAATAAAACAGTGACTCAGCGAGAGAGGAGGGGCCACATCGGCCATGTGGTGACCTTCCCATAACAGGCTTGTGCCAGCACACAGGACATTGGAGGATGTCCACTGCTTGCAAAGGCAATCTTAATATTCAGATGGGTTAAGTTGTTAAAAGTCGTGGCCATTAGGGCAGCTTCATCAGCCTCCACTCATTCAGCAGTTGAAGTCATTTTAAAACGTTGTGCAGCTGATAGAAAGAAGGGGTGAAAGTGGCTCTGTGGGTTTGAGGTTAAGGTCATTTCTTTAAATACTCCTTTTAGATATGCTGGTATAAATAGGAAATCCTGTGTTAATAATATCAGAATTATGAGTTGATGAAATTTTAGCTGTTCGTCTTCCTGCTTTAAAAAATATATTATAATATATTATTGCGGTGCGTGCGTTTGCCCCTATCAAATTTATTTTTCTTGAGCGGCAGTCCCCTGTCAGGTTCATGCATCAGTGAACATGTTGTTCTGCCTGAGCTACTGAATAACGGAAGATTTTGTCTGGACCGCATTGCTGTAGTTGCTCACTCACAGGCATCTCCAGTGCAACAGGCAGAACAGTTCAGTATGAGAGAGACTGAGTAAGTGATGAGGAGAGAGAGGAGGATATGAAAGGCAGACCTTTTAATTATCCCAGACTGAGTTTCATTACGTCTTTACTGACTGAAAGCGAGAGGCTTAATGCTCCCCAGAGCTGGCCTTTAAAATGGAGTGAGCTGGAAAGAGAGAATCCCTGGAGACTGTTCACTTAACACTGAATGCAGCTGCCTCAAAGACCACAGGCAAAAATCCATTCTTCCTCACTTACTGTATGTTTAACAATAAAGCCAGTGCTGTAGTAAAATGTAGTAAAATCTTTAACTGTATTCATTCAGTGTATTCCTTCTGTCTTTTTCTCATACAGAAAATGCCTGTGTTGGATTTGCCATCTCTCTCTTGATGCTCACTATCAGTGCCATGATGGTGTACGGCGCTATTACTGTAAGTGTGCACTGTAAATAATTTTTTTTTCTTTTTAAATCTCTTTGACAGCGTGTAATATATTTAAAGTGTTGTTGTGTTTTTGTTTTTGTTTTTTTTTGTTTTTTAATGCAAAAATGTAATCCCAAATGTCGTGTTTAAAAGTGTGAAAGAAAAAGAAGCAGGATAAGAGGTAACCAAAGGAGAAAAACACGCCAAATAACCCTGATGTCATGGGGCTGAAGCACACAATACTGTGATCTTATTGCCTGTCGTCTTTACCTCACAGGCTTGCCTGATGGCATCAAGACTGACAGGTTTGATAGCGTTTTGACGTGGACCTGTATTTAGCTGCTAGTATGGATGACTGCACAGTTAAAAGTATGACACCCATCTGCAGGCTGGGTATACTGTGCATGCTGATTACTGTGCAGGTAGAAACCCAGAGACAAATGTGGCAGATACCCTTTTCCACTGTAGTATACCAGGTACCCCTTTTAGATTCCACCCTCCCAATTGTAATAAGTATTTAATTATAGTGTACCAAATCCAAATTCCTACTTAATGTTAGCAGTGAAGAAGATTTTTGTCAGAACCTGAGTACACTGTGCTTTGGTAGAAAGAAAATGTATCAGAAAGGACTGTTTTGCTGATTTAAACCTTCTCTGTATATATTTATGATAATGCCTGTTTATATCCATGGGTGCTTATTGTTAGCTGTTTGTTTACCTCAAAGCACATCTGATATTTCAATCTGAGCAGTGGAAAATCTCAGAATCGTTACGTTTAGAACTTGGAAGAAGACTTCTTAAGAAATGAGTAGTGCACCCACAGCTGTAAGATTTGTAGATCTAAATAACATTAATATGTTTAGGGTTTATCTTAACTAAGACAAGTGTTTAGAGATAAGGTTTGAATCTGCACTATAGTTCTTCCAAAATTATAAAAGATCTGCCCAAGTGATTCATTCTTTTAATCATCTTTCTTTCTTTTTTTTTTTTTTTTTTTAGCACCGTGAGGGCTGGCTCATCCCATTTTTCTGCTACCAGCTGTTTGACTTTGCTCTGAGCTGCCTGGTGGCCATCAGTTCTCTCACGTACCTACCCAGGATCAGAGACTACCTGGACCAGCTGGTCAGTTCAAAGTCTGATGTTATTTTTCACAATATCTCAATCTGACTACACCCTTTCCATGACAGTATCTTTACAACTTCTCACTTGGCCCTCATCCAGTATCGCCCTCTTTGCTCTCTCTAAAGATTTAGTGATTCACACCATGCCCAGTTGGAAACTGAGATTTCGGACACTTATTAGTCAACATTTTCCATAAGTGCTGTTGCATAAATGCAAAGGTTGTTAAGGAGATAGTGTACTTTTGTGTCACACTGGAAGTCTCATGGACACTACAGCGTATAAATGTAACTGGCTCTCTTCCACAGTCTGTCTTTTAACCTGTCTTCCTCCCATCACCCCCAATCGGTCGCGGCAGATGGCTGTCGCTCCATGAGGGGAGGGAGTTTTCCTCCCCACTGTCGCCAAGTGCCTCTTCAAAGAGCGTTGTTCGATTTTCTCTCCATTATTGTAGCGTCTTTACCTTACCATATAAAGTGCCTTGAGGCATCTGTTTTTGTGATTTGGTGCTATATAAATAAAACTGAGTAAATGTGCACATTTATACATCAAACACTCAATTAGTAAACAGTCAGTATTTATAGGGAGTCCTTTCAGATGCAGCCATGACCAATGAAGCAACAGTCAACAGTCGCCGTATCCACAACCTAAGCTTTTCATGCTTCTAACGATAATAAGAGAGAGAATTCTGATTTTACCATACGATTTATCTCTACACGTACAGAGATTATTTCCTAGAGGGAAAAAAAATGTAAGAAAACAGATGAGCTCATTGTTATTCTTTCAGTAAGGGTGCTTCAGAAGAAAAAAGAAAACGATAGTAGTCTTTTTACATTTCGAGTGTGGAAATGCTGACAGTAAAGTGAGTAAGAATCAACATTTTGTCTCCTTTTCTTCCTCAGCCGGATTTCCCATACAAGGATAACCTCCTCTATATGAACTCCAGCTGCCTGCTGCTCGTTGTGCTGGTCTTCTTTGCCTTCCTCATCATCCTCAAGGTGAATCTATCAATTATTCACAGTTAGACACAGTTATATTAGGATGTTTGTTTGGTTTTGGCATATGTGTTCATTTAGGAGGAGGAGACGGGAAGCTGTCGTCTGTAACGATACAAATATTTTTCCCTCTGCTTTCCAGGCTTATTTGATCAACTGTGTGTGGAACTGCTACAAGTATATTAACAACAGGAACATGCCAGAAATCGCTGTGTACCCTGCCTTTGAAACCCCTCCCCAGGTATGCAAGCCACCTCAGCATCTATGAACAGAAAGTATTGAGGCACTGGCACCGTGATGCTGTAGTTGAGGCAGCAGGCGACACGGTGTCTCCACACTGAAAGCTGACCTGCTGAGAGGATAGTCTCACTCCAGATATTCTTTACGCCATCTTTAAAGAAACATTTAATATTAGTTATTATTTAGGTTGCACTAAAACATGCTTCTACTATGGTAAAATTAATTCATAACTCAGGCTAAAATCAACAATATAAATGATGTAGTTTGCCGGTTATCGTCTCAGTTATTAGACTGAAAATGTGTCTGTAGACAAACAGAAGTTGCCAGCATTCACATTTAAAAAGCTCCGATTCACTTTGTGCATTTTCCTTTATTTTTAATCGAGTTTCAGAATAATTTCAAACTAACTTTAACTTCACTGATGCTGCTCTGCTCAGAATGTGCTGAATACTGCAGATGGGCCAGAGTTCTGATGTCATCGCAGCTTAATTTCATTTATTGATGTTGAATTCAACAAAGGAACTGAGAGTCACAGAACATGACTCTCAATTCCTTTTTTCAGAGACATGCTTGGTTGGGTTTTTGGTTTCATGTTGTCTTTTTTCCCCCTCCCTGTACAATGAGCCCTCACTACTCTTTAAATGTTTCTCTCTCTTCTTTAGTACATCTTGCCTACTTACGAGATGGCCATGAAGATGCCAGAGAAGGAGCCGCCTCCTCCTTACATGCCAGCCTAAACACCAGCCCTGTTGCCAAAACACACACGCACACACAGCCATCATATGCATTCCTTCTTGCCCTCACCTGATCCCGACCCCTCTGACCTGTTGTGTAAGTGTAAGACCACTGAAGATGTTTAGTTCAACCCTCCCACCTGCCCTCAGCCGCTGTATTTCTATAGTGTCTATAGAGCGTTCTGGAGATGAGAGGAGAAAGGTGGCAAATGAGAGCATGACTGAAAATGAATGAATGTGTTTAAAAAGAGGCACAAGTGTATCCCTGTCCCACCCCCATCTTCTGCCAACATTTTTTTTGTTGTCTTAGTAAAAGGGATATATGTGAAAGTTAAACTGCTTGAAATGCTCTTATCAATCCAGCACATCCCATTAATAGATTGATATATGAAGTTTAAAAGAAAAACAAACTGACAATCCACTTACTATAGCACTTATTGTTGCATTGTGTTACAGTTTTCCCCTCAATCATTAAGAAGTAAATGATTCTATCTCAGTCTTGAATGGAGTCTGTAGCATTTTTTGTCTGTTATTTATTTAGCTTCACTGTAATTAAGTTTTACCCCCACCTTAGACATCATCACCACTCTCTGCTGCCCCTATGTGTTGGCTAAGGTAGTAAACTGTGTTCCAGCTAAGATAAACGTGTGGGGGCAGAGGGCACTGATGGTGGATCATTTTCTCTGCTTTTTCTTTTTAACTTTTGGTACCTGTAGAAAACGGCTAGTCTTGTGAAAATTAGTTGTTGCATGCTTATCGGCAAACCTTACCCTCGTTCCTATATTGGTCATATGATTTATCCTAGTAGAAATACATTTGACTTCAATAAACCTTTCAAAACTATTACATCTTAGTTCTCGTCTTTTTTTTCTCATCATAAATAAACTGAAGGAAAATCGAGAGATATTAAAAAGAAGGAGCTCTCACTACAAGTCTTGAAATAGCGTTAAGGACAAAAAAAACAACCACATGGTCTCATAGACTCATATGCTGGTGATTGATAATACTCATACGCCATCTAGTGTCAGCAGGTAGTAATACAGTGTTTAGGGACGTCCTCAACCCAGCCCTTATTTGTTTATTTTGTTTCCAAGTAGCCAGACTTTCTTTTAATTTTTGAAAGTGGTCTTAAACAGTAATTCTTCAGAATTTTTTAAGCTAATGTGTTATTGTCTATAGCTCCACAGGTTTTATAGTAAGTTATTCAAACTCTGGACTTTGTTGGTAGAGTGTATTTCAGACAGCATGTTTAGATCAACAAAATCACATATTTACCACTTTATTGTCCCAAATGTTTTAAATTATGCTAAAACAAGATTTGCATATTTGCAGCACTGTTGCAAAACATTGAAAAAGTAAGAACAAAGAAACATTTTTGGCTCTTCTATACACCTCCTGAAGTTCATGACCCACCTTTTTGGGGCAGACAGTTTGACGTGTCTCACTCAGGTCTCCTCCTACTCAGTGGTGGTTTGACCCCCTGATCCTCACAGACAAAGTATTCAGAGAGGTCAGACCACAGAAGGCGCTCTGCACACTGAAAGGATGAAGGCTTTTCACTGGATCCTCCTGTACTGCGCTGCACCCCTGCTGTCTGATGTACAGGGCACATACCACCTCATGGCAGGGGATCCCGAGCTAATGGCTGCTCAGAGTTATGCTCAAACCAGAAATAATGGGCACCCACCGCTCAGGACCCTGAATCCAGCAAGTAAGTCTTTAATTTTTAGTATTCTGGTTTTACACAAAAGTCTAGCAGTGGTGGAATAGGTAGGCTAGGAAAAGAAATACAGCAGCTTACAAACATGTAAGACATTTAAAATATCAGAGAGCAGAGCAACTAGAATTTGACTCCCAAGTTTAGTGGAGTTGACAAAGTACAAGATACTTGAGTGAGCATACTTTGTCCACCGCTCCTTTCTAGCAGTATTATTTTGCTTTTTTCCACAAAAGATTAATGCACATTTTTTGTAGTAAAAATCATTCATTTTTAATATTACAGATATTTCATTCATAAAAATTCATTCTAACAAATAAATTTTACACTCTTCTCAAACACATCCTGCATGAATTCTCAGATCTTGGCTGGGGGTTTCACAAGCTCTGTGCAGACTATAGTAGAGGCTTGTCTGAAACAGCCCGGATGGCTGAATGCACATACTAATAATTTGTCTGTGATCCAAAGTAAACAAAAGAGATTATTGCACAGTATATTTTACTTACTACACAATGTCAACTTACACAACTTTCCTGTTTACCTTCTACCAACCTACTAATGTTCTCATCACTTTTCCTTTCTGGTGGCCTCGTAGTTCACAGAAGTGACTACACGTATAGAGAAAGGTATCACTACCACTACCAGCCACCAAGGATCCCTCCACCGGTAGTGTATCACCCCTTTCCTCCATCTCCACCAGTGACTTACCACAGACCCCCAGTCCCTATATCACCTTTTCACCACACATTCAAAGGCCCACATATGCATCACATACACAAAGCTCTCTCACCACCACTGGTTCATCATCCCCAACATGGGATCAAAGACCCGTTCCCTTACAAAGTGAAAGGTCTCTGCCCCTCACCTGTGGTACGCCCACCAACTGAACCAGAACCGACAATTCTACCAACCCTGCCAGCGAGTACAGTGCCACCAGTGACCGCTGTGCCGCCAGGGAAGACCACCACTCCTGTGACGCTACCGGTCAGTACCCAAAGCGGCTTCATCACCACCGTCAGTCCTGTGCCGACAGGTAGAATATTACCAGTCAGGTTTGCTTTCCAAACCAACCAATGCTCTTTTGTCAGGTCAGATATTTTAGTTTCATTTCTTCAGTGATGTTTATGTAAAGAGGTAAACACTCCAGAAATGATCTAGTTTAATGTATGTGTGTAAAACCGGACTGGCAGGGATTCTAACTGCCATTGACATGCCATTTTTCATGTGTTGGGCATCCTTTTCATTCAGGAAAATGACATGAAAGGATAAAGCATGTCTCTGATGGACTGTTGAATCCCTGAAATGATGCATAGTATGTAAAATAGCATACAGTATCATTTTAGAGGAACCACCGCGGCGATGCTCAATTGTTTCATTGAGTGCATCCCAAAGTATTCTTTCTTCTTTTGTGGATGAATAACTACATAATGACCTCAGAGAAAGTACAAATGTTTGTCTGAATAACGAACTGAATTTTTTTTGTATAATATATCAATTTAATCATGCCATGGTTTGATCACAGAGACAGACTCTCAGTGCAGAAGCCGTTCCCTGGACCTGGTCTTCATCATTGACAGCTCTCGCAGCGTGCGTCGAGGAGAGTTTGAGAAGGTTAAAATCTTTCTGGCCAACATAGTCGACACCCTTGAAGTGGGCTCAGATTCCACCAGGGTGGCTGTGGTCAACTACGCCAGCACGGTCAAGACAGAGTTCCTGCTCAAAGACTATTTTAGCAAACTAGACTTGAAGAAAGCCATCTCCCGCATTGAGCCTTTGGCGACTGGCACCATGACCGGCCTCGCCATCAAAACTGCAGCGAATGAAGCTTTCACCGAGCAGTCTGGAGCCCGGCCTCGTTCTAGGAATATCTCCAAGGTGGCCATCATCGTGACAGACGGGAGACCTCAAGACCAGGTGGAAGAAGTGTCTGCTGCAGCCCGGGGAAAGGGTATCGAGATCTACGCTGTCGGGGTGGACCGTGCAGACATGCGATCCCTTCAGCTGATGGCCAGCACCCCTCTGGAGGACCACGTCTTCTACGTGGAGACCTACGGCGTCATCGAGAAGCTCACGTCCAAGTTCAGAGAGACCCTGTGCGGTAGGACAAAGAGGGCCTGCAAGACCTTTTTCCATCATTAAGTCTGGGGGAGGCTTTTGTGGGTCATTGACAGTTATTGGTAAAAATGTGAAAAAAGTATTAGAACAGATGGTCTCAGCCCCCGTATGGACTGCAGATGTCGGCTCTAGAACGTGCTTGTAGTCGCCAATTTAAACCCACGGAAAATCTTAAGACTGTCAGCTTCTCTTTAAAAAGCGAAACGTTTATATGGTGATCATAGATTGATTATTTTTGCAAACAAAGCGTCCCGGTTCTCTGAATTTTTCCTTAGTCTGTGTTGAAAATAATTAAAACGTAGAGTAAAACCTCTCTACAAAACTTTTAAACATTTGGAAAACTGATTAGAAAGCATTCAGATGAACATAACATGATAAGTGAAATCCATCCATATAAGCTGATTTTATTCTTTTTGAAACATAAGAAACATCGAATTTTCAAAGTAAATTTATCAGACACAATGATCAACTATCAAAAACAGTTTGCTAACTTGTGTGACTGCTCTTCAATTACATTCGTGTACTAAAAGACAGATGTTGAAGGTTTGAAATGGATGTTTTGCTGTATTGTTTCTCCATATGTGTGAATTTGTGTGCGTCTGTTCGTTAACTGTCCAAACTGATGTGCTTTGTTATGTTACCTCAGTTGTCCAACACACAGCAGTTCACAGATGCGGTGAAGGTGTTTCCGCCATGTGTGGTCAACTACAAATATCTTCGAAAAGTTTCCAGTCATACTTTTTTAACTCGTGCATGCAGAAAAAAATCATAAAATTCCAAAATGTGAAGTAAAAAATAGCTTCTATCTTTTTTTAGCATAGTCTTACGTTTCACAAGCTACCCACCTTGCTTGCACGCAAAAAACTGTACCCATGCTGCCATCCCTTAATCCTGGCTTATTCTAGGTGTGGACCCCTGCTCCATGGGACACGACTGCGAACACATTTGTGTCAACAGCAACGCCTCGTATTACTGCAAGTGCCGGAAAGGTTATATCTTGAATCCGGACAAGAAAACATGTTCCCTGAAACGTAAGATCATACTGCAGCTCTTTGGTGTCATACTAATGCTGCTCAACAGTTTAAAGACGTGTAGATACCCAGCTTGGATTCTGATCAGGGCTTCATAACACTACAAAAATCCCGAATCTGTAGCAGATGGTTTTGTTTTTTTGGACAGTTTACATGAAATTGGTACTTTTCTGCCTTAAAAAGCTTCCATTCATTTAAGCTTTGTTTTGTTCTCCATCAGCAGTCTAGTGGGGGAAAGTAGCGTGGGTGGTGCTCTGTGTGCTTTTTCACTCTCTGCGTGATCTGTTACCCTGATGTGAAATTTGCTTTCTCCCGGCAAAGAGGTGAAGGTCGAGGTGGTGGAGGATCCCTGCAAATGCGAGGCTAGACTGGCTTTCCAGAAGCAGACGCAGGCAGCCATCCAACAGCTCGCAGCCAAGCATATCCAGTCTGTTGTTTCAGATGGACGACAGTTTATTATAAACAGTCTCTGCAGCTGACAGCTGATGGTTTCTTCGTGTTATTATTGTTACTGGTGTTATTGCTCCATTGTATAATTGTCAAAAAAAAAGTCCTTGACTCCTCAAACTTGCTGACGTGACTGGGAGAATAGAGCGTCTTGAGAACACGGTGGGCCGTGCCTGAAACTTTGCACGTAAGTAAGAGTCAGCGGCTTTTTCCTCCATGATTGGTAGTAAAAGGTTCCCACCCACTGGGAGCAATCTGACCTCCTGATTATTTATATTCCGCAGAGCCAGATGACTTTTGTTGCTCCTACAGACTACTGCATCATGGGGAGGAACTTCCTGTGATCCACTCTAACTTCAACCACAGACTGAGAGAAGCAATGACTCACAAATCAACCCCGCAGGTTACTGACTGCTGAGCAACAATGTCTACAAATAAACTTTATTTTAACTTTTTATTGATGATTTTTTCCCCCCAAATCTACTGTAAATGTTACTTAAACTAAACCCCCAGGAGCATATTAAAATATATAGTAATCTAACATTTCTTTAATCTTTTTTTTCTATTTTGTATAAATGAATATTGTATATATTAGCCTGGTGCTGAATTACACGTAGCCTTAATAAATGTGCAACTTGAATTCAACTAAAAATACAGAATAATGAATATTTTCCCATTTATCGGGTGGTGACACAAACATGTATCATACCATATATATAGTAAAAAATTCCATTAAAATCTAATCTCATA